GTGGGAAGTGGGAAGCTATGGGGGAGGCTGGGGGGTGTGGCTTACCGGATTTGCTCACGAGCCGGCTGTTGGACGAAGATCACCCGAGATAAATTCGTGATGGGCTAATTTGGCCAACTTTCTATAATTATCCCACTTCGCTTCCTCTTAACTGGGAACTAAACTTGGGTTAAGTCGAGCTACACTTTGCATGCAAATGCATACCGGGCGCTAAAAAGTGTCGTACTCGTTTGCGAGTTTGACCTACATATTTGGTATAGTACATATACATAGTACCTGCACACCAATAATTATTCTATTTTTGACTTAGCCCGTATTCTTGTTTGTGCAATGTGGGCTAATTTGGGCTAATTTGGGCTAATTTGGGTTCTTACATGTGGTGTTGTGATAATCTAATATTTACTCGCTAATAATTATTATTGATATTAAGCTACGTACTTTTTTTATTTTTTTTGGACTCTTCAATCTTCATCCATGACAGCGATCGCGAGATTAGCCCCATGCAACATCGTCACTCGTCAAAGCCTTATCCAGCCACGCGCCCCTGCTCACAAACATCCTCCCGACAGTCCCGGCAGCATGGCGATGATAGAAGACAAGTGGCTCTGCTAATGCGTTCTCTTACCAAGATATGTTATATTATGCGTTATGCTGTCCTTCAGATCGCAAAGTCTAGCTAGTTGTCACTTTAATATATGTTATGCTACTATGCATGCTGTAAAAGAAAAGGGTTCTTGTTCTAACGGTAGGTAATGTAAAATGGGGGCTGCTCCTTTTGTATGCATGTCTGTGATGTCTGTAATGTTGAGAAAGATACTACAGGGATAGTGGAGATACGTACGTATGCCCTCATTATACCTTACCTAGCTTGGGTATGTAGGTACCTATGTATGCTGTATGCGTAAGTGACGAATGTATGTAGGTAGTATATTTCTAGCTTACCCTGCTCAGTGCTGACCCTGTAAAGCCGTAAATACTACAGCAAGAAATTGAAGCCCGTGCTGTTGCCGTCATTGGTAACCCTGTCCAGGGAGCTGATGCAAATCATCATAAAAAACAAACTCGCACCCGGCAGCCAAGCTGTTGCGTCCCGGTCCATCTTCCGTCGGCTTACCTACAATAAGAAGACTAATGTGTGCAGTGTGCACAAACCTGTGATACATTCCTTAGCGGACATGGTAATGAGAAACTAAGTCCAAATCGAGCTTTCTATTAAATCATTCACGATCTGCTAATCATCCTATGAGCCGGGATGGCTTCTGCGTAGTCTGTGCTCTAGCTACCTACGCGTGCATTCAAGGGTCAAGGACCCTAGCTCTAGTGAGATTACCTGCATTTGCGAAGTCTTTCCTTGTCTAACCCTATTCGCCTACTCGTCGACGGGGATCTCTCTACGGCAAAAACGAAGACTTCAACAAAAACAAATCAGAGCCTCTAGATGACATCTGACGATAGCACAGATCTTCATCATGCTACGAAGACTAATCTCTGTCGGGATAAAGGAGAATCAACCATCCACCAAGGAGCTGGGACTCGCATTGAGGAATACTCATGTGATGAGTCCCGAAAACTCATTCTCGGCATGCGATTGGGCCCGAGTCTCTCAAGTCAACTTCGCTTAAATCGGAGCGTGTTCTTTGTCACAGGGGAGTCAGCCCCATCCCACAGCTGTGCCCAAGTTAAAAACGCGATGCTCGTAATCGTGAACCTCCGAAGCTGCCCAGGAGTGCTAACCTAGTGTTTAATGTCAGTGTTAGGGTTAGTGTTAGGGTAGAGACAGGTCAACGTAAGACAATTCCTTCGGGATTAAAAGAAACGATGACTCGCCGTTCACTAATTCACTACCGCCTGGATCCAGTATTTCATGATGGAGCAAGTAGAAGTCATTCAGATCGGATATACTCGGGAGAAATCATGTTCATAGAAGCCTTCTTGTAAATCAACGCAGCTCGAATGTGGATCACGAATAATAGTATCTACGATAGTAGCAGGGAAGTGAGCGTAGTAGCTGCCACGTCTTAATGGTAGAGTGACGACGATGGAGACAGGCACATACATAGTAAATCACTACACATGTGAATCTACATACAGTTTTATCGGTCACCGACTCGTAAAGCTAGCTATGTATTGTATTTGATGCCCTAAGACGAGGATCAGATGTCTTAGATCTCGGTTTGCTCCATTGATGACCTAGCTAGTCTGTTGACGATCTTGCATTGGCTTCACCACTACTATGTAAGCATTAGGTTAGGTATGTAAGTGTATGTATATCAAACTGTCCAAACTGTCGGTGTATTCCGTTGGGTTGTGCTTTTGTGCTGGGCGGCGCTAAGGTAGTATGGAAGATGTAGTATGTACGAACATCGCTTCGCGGGGAGCAGACGGACGCGACTATAAGCTGCATACCGTATGCGGGAACTCACTGCTTCTATGCAGCGCTGCAGAACGAGTGTGACCCCCGCCACATGTTGTTCGTGGAGGTTCAAATTATCCAGCCAACTAACTGCCTTATTCGTTCTTGATCGCTGAACCGGTAGGTAGCTCCATTCGAATTGGAGAGACAGTGAGCTCTTTTCTTAACGACCTTACCCAATCTTACATGGCTTTCTTTTCGTCACAGTCGGTACCGAGCAATCGAGAGGAATATTAATCCGCCAAGGCACCGAATGGAGAATATAGTTTCTCCATTCGCTCACCTTCGTCCTGGGACTCGGTTATTCACGTATGTACCTAGAGTCATTGGTATTCGGTTGTCATGTGTCCGGAACCAGGTCACGTTGACCTTTGCGATATGTCAATCATTGGATACCAAGTCGAAGGTGGACCAGTTGCAAGGGACCGTGGAACGTTCGAAAACTTGTTCCTTCGACACCGGTCACGGACGCATCGAATTCGAAGATTGGATAGATCCGTAAAAGCTAAAGCAAAGCCGGTCCGGTCCAGAAGTCCAGATCTTGCCATAATCCGTAGGGAGGCGTTATGGCGTTTATGGCATCATGGCATCATGGCACTATCCGTCCCTCTCTTCGAAGTGCCTTAGAGTCGGGTTCGCTATTGGCCTCTTAATATCCCGCTATTGGTGAGGGGAGGTCCTAGCTTTTCCGAATTGGCTTTACTTGTAGATATTAATAAGACGTCGTGAGTTGGAGACACCAATCCCATCGTCTTGCAACGTGCCACAAGAGAGGGGTTTCGAGCAAAAAGATAAAGTGTTGTATGGCTGTAGTATGGTTACCGCATGGTAGCAGCCACGAACACCCTGGTTCTAAGAGCACAATACAATGGCTACGATATCAATACAATGGCTTGCTTCTTCGTTCTGCTTGTGCATAACCCAGTGGAGAAACTACGGCAGAGAACCCCTGGCTCAGAGTAGGATTATTCTCTCCGTCCGTCTATCCGACCTTGGCCGGGTAGTGGATAGTGGACTATTATCTCTCGCCTCTTGACCAGGTCTCTGAACTAGGTCTCTTACTAGCATGGCATGAGCATGAGCATGAGCATGTGCAGAGCGCAAGAGCACAAAATGCAGAGCGCAAACCGCAGGCCTGCAGACCGACTTGGGGCGAATCCGCTAACGCTTACTGCCAATTTTGCTAATACTAAATGCCCAATGCTGTCGGTGATCATTCGAGCGGGTTTATCGTATCCCGGCTCCTAGCTTAGAGGATCAATTGACTTGATCCGCTCCGTCTCTCACGATAGGCCGAGCCTGTGGGCTTCTCAAGGATCACAAACAAGAGAAAGTCACTCACTCACTCACTCACCTCTTGACCGCTTCCGCATGTAGATCAAGAAACATCTGGATTGATGGGATAGACGTAGTAAGGTATGCAGTAGCGCGGGCTTCACTCGTAGCACGGGGAGTCGTGGTGGTACCTGGGACTGTTGCTACTACATTGCACAGCTTATTGCGGAGAAAGATCGAGATGTGAATTGGAATTTCGCATGGCCCCAACTGTAAGGGATGCCCAACATCCATATGTATTACTATGTATGTCTTGAGGCGCCCGTTCGAGTCCCCGTGGTCCCCTTGTGGACGATGGAGATATGGATATGTTTGGTCCCTCCGTGCAGTCGTTCACTCTTAGAGTGCGCCACTTTTGCTAACGGTTACTGTAAGGCGATACCTAATCGGGTTCTAAGTGAAGCGGACTTGGATAACTTCATCCCTGTTCATCCGTGCTTAGGCTGTCCGGCGCTTAGAAGAAGGAAATGTGCCGGGGTCGTGGCAAATCACGGCCAATAGCAACTCTAGAAAGTCCCAATTATTTTCTAGCACACCTCATCTGTCTTGTCCAACCAGCCCTCTACTTTCGGGTTGCTTAACGCTGGGCATTCGGTGGGGGACCATTCTGGGCTTCGTGGGATTTGGGACTTTCACACACAGGCCACACACAGACACAGACGCGGAGCTATTATTAGTGATAGAGAAGGGCATTGTAATAGGTGGCTCTAGGTCGGTGTCTCTCTGCTGTGTGAAGTCCCGAGAAACAAATCACATCGTGGCATTGCTCACCATTATCACAGCGTATCACTGTTTCTCCTGCATAGGTCTGTTGCGATCCGGGGCTATACTATACCATACCTATACTATACCGGTATACCCCGTACATATACCTACGTTCCGCAGGCGCCCGCGCTGTACTTTCGTCCATTTCCTCTCTCCTTTGCGACGTCAAACCTGTCCCTCGACTGCTTACAGCGAGGTTATTTCCTTTCAGTATTCGCATATCTCGTATACCCCCTTTGGTTTAGACGGAGAGGAAGAGAAATCGTAAGGCCGGCAACGGCAACAGATACCAAAAAAGCGCATATTTTTGCATTTCCCCCCCCTTTTCTATTTCTTCAAACAAAATGGTAAGCTTGATATATTAGTTCCCGGCTGTAGTCATCATCTCTACCCCGGATTTATCCGCATCTCAAGCAGCAGCAGTGGCTGACTCTCGTTGCTGTAGAATACGCTGTCGCTCAGAACAAGCGAGCGATCGCATAGAGAAATGCGCCAGAAAAATCAATTACATGACCCCTTCTTCGGTCTAAAAGGATACGATCCGCGCCCGACCTCAGTAGCGACTGAATTTGTAGATACCGATTGGGACGAAGAGGACGATATCGTTAGCGAGATAGAAGATGACGACCCAGACTCACCACGAATAAGTCTAAATTCGGTAAGCCCACGAAAACCCCAACCCGATATATCGCTTGGTGGCGTTCGCTACTAACCCAATTACTAGTCGGGCCAGCCCAGTTTTACAACAGTATCGTCATACGATGAAGTACAGACGCCTAGATCGAGCAGAGCTCGCAATGCGTTTCCGTTTAGCTTCGACTCGTCGAAGCCGGTGGAGGGACCGAGAGGACCGCATCTATTCCGAGCTTCGATGACAACGTCATTGAACTCGTTCGAATACCAAGAAGCTCTCAGCCTATCGCCAATAACACCCAAGACAGCCAAACCATTAGAGGCAGACCATCGGTTTGCTCTTACTTACGAGCCGCCGCCACCTCGATCTCGGAACAGCCCGTTCCAGTTCACGCACGAGAAATTAGACCCGGGTAACCTAGCAATGTGGACGCCGGAGAAGGTGGCGCAGTGGATGCTCAATGCTGGCATTGAAGTCTCAATTGCCGAGAAATTCGTCGAAAACGACATCAACGGGGCTATCTTAATTACGTTGAAGTTCGAAGATCTACGAGAATTGAATATCCAATCTTTCGGAGTTCGGACTAAAGTATGGGAGGAGATCCACGTCCTGCGGGATAGCAAAGCGGCTGCTGCTGCTGCTGCCGCTGCTGCTGCTGTATCTTCGCCTAGACTCGACACCCCGATAGAAGAGGAGGAGAGCAAGGAGGTGAGGAGGGAACGGAGAAGAGAACAGAGACCGGAAGATGGGAGTGGGGAGCAGCATCGTAGCCGAAGCGTCAAGCGTTCCAAGAGCCTCAAGCGAAGCCACAGCAAGAAAAAGCCTTCCCACGAAGATATCATCTCCCCCTTAGAATCGGTATCTATCGTCGGGATCGAGCAGATGATGCCGAAGCCACATCACTGCTCGAAAGGCGAAAACTGCTCCAAGTACAGGAGACAGCAGCGGATGATCGAAGCCTTCAAGAAAGACCACCCGTTCGTAGACGTCGAGCAGGGCGGCATTATCATGGTCGCCGGGGACCCAGGAAACCCAGAGACCGCACCGGCCATCAACCGTCCCTCGTCCACTGAGGCGTTACGGCCTATGTCTGATGCCGTGCCCTCAGTAGTCGCATCGTCGGACGTTCTCGGCCCCGGCATGCCCCCTTTCCAGTACCTGCAGGAAGCCGCCCTTCGCAATCTTCAGACACGAGACCCCCTGGACAACGTGCGTCAGTTCCTCGACTTCCAACACCAGGACGACGGTGCGTGCTCCAGCGAAGTTCCGCCTACGCCTCCCTTCGAGATATTGCCGCGAGGGCCTCACGAGGGCTTGCGTGCTCTGCCTAAGCTTTCTATCCCGGGACAACAGCAGCAGCAACAACAGCAACAACAGCCACCCCAGCGCCAATCACCACAGTTACGTGTTGACGCCAATCGGACACCGCAGCCCTCTCAGTACCACTACCCGCAACGGATGGAGAGAGCCGAGGCTCTATCCCCCGATCTACACAACGCCCCTTACCGATTCGGCACTCCCTTCTCAGACATGGACGTGCCGTTGACGGCCGTACAACTAGGTCCCGTCGCCCGAGACGCATCCCAATCCGTCCCGCCTGACATGAACTACCGCGCGGGCCCCGCAGCCCAAGGACCGCGGTCCCAATCCCGAGCTTCGCGGCGCCCGTCCCTAGCGCCCGTAGAGGAGGACTCAATCACCACACCCATCGGCCGCATCACCCCCCGATTCCCTCACCACTCCATCTCCCCCAAATCCACGTCTCCCCCCAAAGTCCCCGCCCGCCCTCAACAGCCTCTCCAAGCCCCTCCCCGCGCGCAATACCCCTGGTCACCCACCTCATCGCGCGGCGCCTTCGAGCGCGCCCTCCCACCTCTCCACACCTCCTCCTCCGTCGGCGGCATCGCCGGCCCCAGGTCCCCACCCGTCGTCAAGGACGCCGAGGGCATCACTTACCAGGGCCCTGTCAAGAAGCGCAAGACGCGGATGCTGCGACACGAATGGCACGACCAATACGCCACTCTAAAAGGCACGCGTCTCGCCCTGCACCGGGACGCCGCGACGCGGTCCCGCGCGCTCGAATACATCGACATAGACGACTACGCAATCGCGTGCTCCTCCCTGTCCACCGGCTCCAAGCTCAACGCCGCCTTCAAGGCCATGAACATCAGCCGGTCGAAGCACGGGCGCAGCCCCTCGGCCGCCGACTCGGACTCCGTCGCGGCGTTTAGCTTCCAGCTGATACCGCAGGACAACGTGTCGAAGGGGGGCGGGATGGGGGCGCGGCTGCGCAAGCGGGAGAGCCAGAGCATTGGGTCCGGGCCGTTGATGCCTGTTGCTGGGCCGGGGTTCGAGGGCGCGGCGAATGGGACCGGGAAGACGCATCATTTCGCGGTGCGCAGCCGGGACGAGAGGATTGATTGGATGCGCGAGCTTATGCTTGCTAAGGCGCTGAGGCAGAAGGGGGAGGGGTTTGAGGTTAGCGTTAATGGGAACATGATCTAGGTTAGACGGTCATGTTTACATTCCTGTCTATCTCCTGATCCATCTCCCTACTCACCGACCATCTTTTTTCATATATTTTCTTTCTCTTTTATTTTTTCTACTACGTTTCAACCACTTCCCACTTCCTATATACGCACCTCCCTCCCACCGAGGCTGAGGTATTGTGGTGGTAGCTAGCTGGGTGTCGCAGAAGTTACGTTTGCTTTGCTTTGCATTGCTTCCCTCGCTTCTTGTCTTACCTATATAGGGGCATACAGCCCAACCCGGATCTAGCGAATAGTTGGATTTTGACGATATGATGACGAATGGCAAATGTTGGTACGGTAATTAGTGACGAAAGATGATGAAGACGAAAGACGAGGGCTGCGATAGCAATGGCAGGGTTGACGGTTGATGATATCCAGGCGTTAGCCGTTTGCGAGCGAGCACGCACTTACTTTTTTTGTTTGATTTCTTCTTGTCCGCTTCAACAGATGATACCTGATTCCAGGCGTACGAACGTGGGGTTTTGAACGGATATTTTACCTTTTTTTTTTTTTGTACTTGCTTTTTTCTTGCTTATAGTCGACGAATGACGGCGGCCATAGGCTCTTGAGATACCAACAATACACTCCCTATTTGTTATGTTTGTTAGGCTATCATTAAATTAGGGTAGTTTTGAAAAATTGCGGGAAAAGGAAGATTGATAAATAAAATAAATACGTTTACGATTCACATTTGCTCTTATAGACTTGGTGATTGTTGGATATCTGCCAGGGGATATTATCCAAGCGCCCAGTTCCGAATCTTACCTAGATAACAAAAGGACATTCTCCGAGCGCTTGGCAGTATCAAATATTTATTCATACCTCATTGCACTTTACCAAGAGGGGGATGTCATGAAACTCATCGTCTAAACGCTGATCATCCACCACCTTTCGAAGACGTACTACCTTTTGGTAATATCATGTACATTTTGAGTGTATAGCACATGGCCCTCCCTTACTTTTGAAAGGCGTTTTGAGTATCATACAAGTCGAACTGCCTGAGAGCCAAAGTCCCCTCCTTGTTCATACCGAGTCATTTCCTCATCATGTCATGAGTTCGGGCCTTTTGATGTTCGCTGCGCTCTCAACGTTGGTCCAGTTGATGGCATTCCACCAGTTCTCAACGAACTGCCTCTTTCCTCCTACGCCACCGGCACCGATACCGTAATCTCGCAGCCACACATGTTCCCACGTATTTAAACATAGGAGGGGGATGACGTCGGTGCCACCCGGCGCGGTCTGGCTGTGGGGTACGAATCTGGCGCCGTTGTCTCCGCCGACCGCTGTCTGGGTGCGTTCTAGAAAGCTCTTGGCCGGACTATTTGCACTAATGCCCTGTGTGTTCATGTCGAGACCCTGGCGGCGCCAATGCGCTGCCGTGTACGGGCTCCCCGCTAAGTAAGTTGTCAGAATGCGCAATTCGGTCGACTGCGCGTTCTTGACTAGCCACACGAATCCGGGCCCGAACATGGCCATTGCCGTGACGAGAAATTCGCGACGGAGCGTTTCGATCGAACTGAATTGCTTTGACAGCTCGTACTTTAATAGGTGGGGGATTTTTTCTTCATCGGAAAGCTCTTGGGGCACATTATCAGTATTTTCCCCTTTTCTTCTCTCCTGTACCGTCTTCTTGACCTACCCTGTTTCTGTGATTGCGGATCGGCAGCAATGTTAAGATTCTTGAAGAAGAAATGGTTGTTATGTGCCATGGATGCATAGTTAAAGATAGGTGCTTGTGAAGGCTCTCGCGCGCTTGACTTAAGGATGGTTAGGGTATCCTGTTGTTCATAATCGGTACCTAATCCTAATGTTAGCTCTCAATGCTCAATGCTCAATGCTCAATGCTCAAAGCTTTAATCGGTTTAAATAAACGCAAAGGCGAGTGTTGAGTATTTTGTTTCCCGCAATACCGAAACAGCGACTGATAATCAGCCATTCTAGCCGCCCAATGTTTGTAATTATATCGACGTACCAGCTGTTAAAGCATTGAGTCTCTCTACAACAAGCTGCTGGTATTGGGTCCATGCGAAGTCGAAGCCTCCTGGAGATAGTAACCCGGGGACTCCCTCTTCTGGGTTGATGTCTAGGCGAGGAACATGGTGTATTGAACGGGACGATGGTAGTGGACGCCATAACCGACTCGCACTCGGTATTCGTAATCTAGGTCGTATCATGGTGGTTATGGAATGGGGATACCTCGATATCGAAATGGGTATAAGAGACTATTTCATAGCTCCCGTCACTTTTTTTTCTGGAGTATTTTCTGGCGTAGCATGCGCGAGCAGCAAAGTGCGCTGCAAAGTGCGCTGCATGTTGATTGGTCAAAATAAATTCGGCAGGGGAACATTGAATTCCCCGTGCGGTCCTTATTTTATCACTATAAGAGGTACAATCACCATACCGTAGGTACCTACATTATGGGGCTGGGGGGGTCTATTGACATAGTGTCAGCATACGTGTTAAGGTGTGGACATAATGTCGGCCATGCGCATGTTAAATGACTGTTACTACGGTGATTGGCTAATACATTCAGTATGGTTACCCCCAGGGGTGATTATATCCAGATTATAAGGATAACCAGGTCTGAAATAGCTACCGTACGTACACGATTATACCTTGTTGTAATAGTATTATTTTCAAAATACTGATATATTGGGAAATAATAGCCTTTTAAAGATCGTTACCAACGGTAGTCACGGTCACCTGATCGATAGATGTCATGTACGAGACGATGTTAAGCGAGGTCATCGTCACCACCCAAAGGTCTAATAATATTAAAAAAAAAAAAAGAATAGAAGGCCTTGTAACTTAATACAAGGCTTTCAACATACTTATATATATACAGCCAAGGCACAGGCACATGTAAAAGTCAATTGAAAAGATTACGTTGAACTATTATTACGAGATTACGGGCTACGTGTTTTACCATTACACTACGAGGTCATTACGATTACGAATGATTAAAGTTTACCGTATTGCAGTATATATGCA